ACATTCTCCTAGTAATAACTCCTTACGTCAGGAGCTTCGTTAAACTGGCCGTTTTCCTCCAGTATTTTTGCAAAGTCCAGATGCATGCATATCTCTGCGTACGGTCCCGTAACACCACGCCTTACTTAACGCAGGTAGGACATACGGTCCCCTAGCGCCAAACACTACGGGGGCGTACGGTCCCCTAGCGCCAAGCGCTATTGGGGCGTACGGTCCCCTAACATCAGCCTTATCACATTTGTTTCTTTGCAAGCTTAATAACATGATTTTTAATGTTTGTTATCAACACTTGGACACAATGATAGTTTGTCTAAAGTGGTATTCACCATTTATAGAGCTATTTTAATGAGTATGTATCTGACCCACTCTACTACGTGGTATCTGACTCTACTACACTGGCATCTGGCTCACTCAACTACACTGGTATCTGACTCTGCTACACTGATATCCGACTGTATTACACACTGGTATCTGACTCTATTACACACTGGTATCTGACTGAGTTAATATGCTGTATCTGACTCTACTATTATTTAAATCATGCACAAATTCTTTATTCTTTGTTATATAACCATTGGCTCTATATTATCTTTATGTGCCCGAAGGATGAGAAACTACGGATTTTATGTTACAATCCGGGCACCCCCCCCTTTGGGCAAAAACGGCGAGACTAAACGGCAAATTCTCTTTCATCCTTGTTGACAGGGCCTCATATGCAAATAATTCTCCAGCCTTCAGAGTCTACCAAAACGTAGAATCTAGGTCACAGGCTCCTTCATTCACAACCAATGTTAACTCTTCCGGGGAAAGAGCTTCACGCTGTTTAGCTCAGTTGATGAAGAAAAAGCTGTCTTAAGGACTATTTTTAGCAAAATATCGCCGTAACTGTTGTTTCAACGAAAGTAAAGGAGGTTGCTTTAGGTTTGTGTGCCACTCTTTTGGGGCTAGATTTGAAAACAAAATTTTAAATGATCTTTTTGTACTCCAGTGCCCGACAGCAACAAAAAAAAAAACGTGCTGCCCGAACCGGTACGATTACTCTAGAACCGCCTGCGTTGGTTCGTAATCGAGGCATACGTCTCATTCAAAACATGCCAAGTTGGTAGCTCTAGATGTTCGTCCAATAAAATTATAGAAGAAATTGACCCACTTAGACATGAGGAGCTCGAAAGGATAGTCAAGAAACATGACTTCCATTTTTCTATACAAAATCTTTCAAATGAGCTTGATTTTGTATGAAATGATACTACTTGATAAACAATAAGCTTGTTTGATAGTTTTGAATACCATTGTGCAGGTACAAAGAACAATTTGAGTGTAAAACATTCGGAAATTGACATAAATTATCCCCTTTCAAACCTCAGGTCATTCATAACAAGAGCGTCCAGAAAGGTTATTCGAATGGGCGTAACTACTCGTAATGTCTTATCAGCTTGTGAGAGGGGGTTATTCATGTGTTTGTAACACTTTATAAATAGAAAGCTATGAAGGATAGAGCGTTATTTTCATCATCGGTTAACACACTCCCGCGGTATTCATGGTGAAAACACACATTTCCCGGCGTGCGCGCGCTGTACACCAACAGTACACACTGAGTGACCCCGGCGGCCTGCCCGGCACGTCCTAGGCAAAAGAAAATCTGGGGGGTTACAGGGGGCAGCCCCCCTGTTTTAACCCATACCATAATTTGATATTCGAAGTGACTATTCGGACTCGAGTCCGAATATGAAAAAATGTTATTCGGACTCTGATTCTTCTTGTCCAGCATGACATCACTTCCGACTTCCTGTGACTCATGACTCCAGCTTCCTGTCCTGCCTCACTCGTGACTCGCCTCAGGCTGGGTAGAGACCGGGATCACTTCAGGCAAAATGGCGTTAAATTGTGCCGGAGCCGAGTTTTTATCTTATGATGAATTTGAGGCCGGCCTGAAAAGTTAAAGCGCTTCTAATAAATGTTTATTTGTCAAGAGGTCATCAGAAGCAATTAAAGATGGCTCGTTAGCGTGTGTCGGGGTTGGATGGGCGGCCTGCACACGTGTGGCTGTGTGTGCGTGTCGGGGAAGGGGGGGGGGGCGCTATCAGCCCGGCCGTTGAACGTCGCATACTCGTCAGTCCACACACCCCCCCGGCAACTGATCATTATTACAATAATAAGCTAGTCTTGACGTAGATCTACGTAAGGAATTGTGCGCTGGTCTATGGAATAAAAATTTGCCGTATGCTCGGCTCTACACAGCAACACAACTTTTTCTTGGTAAACAATCGAGATGACACAGGTTTGTGTATTTGAACGAATCGGTCTTTTTTTTTACACAGCTCATAATATGCAGGTGCCAGGAGATCTGCTAATCTTCAATTTTACCTTTTTCTACAACAAAGAAAGTGGGAAACATGGGGGGTGGGGGGGGGCGGGGGCGTATCAATGAGGCGGCGGGC